AAAAAAGGGTCGCAACTCACAGGTTGAGAGCCGCTGCTGTAAGAGAGAGAGAGAAAGGGGGGGGGGGGGGGGTTACATATTTATCTTAGAATATAAAATACTTAAGGGTTAGATAAATTTGTTTATTATATCTGCGAGCTCAGTGGATTCCTCGTATGTTTATTTATGTGCATTAAATTAGAAAGAAGAGACAGAGTTACCACACACACATTAAGGTGACATTTTAAAATTATATACATAAGGACCTATTATATAGTTTTTTAATGGACTGCTGATGCAAGCGTTGCTGCAGCTACTACTACTACTAATGCAACTGCTTCTGCTGCTATAGCTACGACTACATTTACGCTATCATCATCGCCACCTCATGCCTTACCGACTGGTGTGGGCGATCATGCGTGTAGCCATGCACCTGCTGACATTCCTGTGTGTCGTGACACAAGACTAGTAAGAATAATTCTGCCACAAATACTACCGCTGCTGCTTCTACTACTACTACTACTACTACTACTACTACTACTACTACTACTACTACTACTACTACTACTACTACTACTACTACTACTACTACTACTACAATCACCACCACTATTGCTGCTATGATCTCAGCCACTACCATCACCATCACTACAGCCACCACCATTATACCCCATAATTACTACTACAACCATCTTTACTACAATTTCTTGTACGACTTTAACCACTACCATTACTATTACCACCACCACCATAAATTCCAAGTAAAACCACAGCTCTGTCAATCTGTGATATATTGTTGCTATCACAGCCCATCCCGTGCTTCTAATTTTAGATTTATGTATCACACAACAGAGCAACAAAACAAATCTCACGGGAGATGTCTGACCGCCAGTTCCTGTTATGTAAAAGGACTCAACAGCATTGCTAGTTATTCTGGTCACGTACTGCACAGATTTCCTGAAAACATGACTTTTAGAGCAGGTTCTGGTATACACTAACCATGAACAAAGGATGGTTCTTTATGTGTCCCTTCAATTTTTTTAGGGTGTGGTATTCTTCAATCTTCTAAAGTACCAGATAGCATCCCTTGAGCCTTTTCAGTATCTATTTCAATTTCTTTTTCAATATTAATAGCTTTTATTTCATATTCTTCACACCAGTGTCCATTATTTTCGAAGCATTAAATTGTGAAACCATCGTCATGATCAGCAATGTGTTACAGTGACCTATATGAAAAGCAAAGAATAGTAACACTGATTGTCATAGCACCATTTTGTAGTAATTGTAGTAGTCGCAGTAGCAGTAGTAGCACCAGCAGCAGTAGTAGCAGAAAAGAGTAGTAGTAGTAGCAGCACTAACGGTAATAGGAAACAGTAGTAGCAGCAGTAATAGTAGGAAACAGTAGTAGTAGCAGCAGCAGTAGTACCGTTAGCAGCAGAGGTAGTAGTAATGATACTGGTTATCGCAAAAGAAAAGTTTAGCTGTCAAATACAGCCAGTCATGCACAAGTCTACAAATGACTTAGTGTGATCTGATTAGGAGCCTGTGCTTCATTAGGGAAGATGACAGGCAGTAGTAGACTGTGTAGGTCTGGTGGGCCCTAGCCTCGGGGGACAAAAGAGTAGACACTGTCTCCCTTACAGTTGATGAATAATCAGGAGTGCTTCCTTCAAAGACGGAGTGCATCTGCCCAAGAGACAAGGAGTGAACAGTCTGCATACCTATGGGCCAGATAAGTAAAACGGATATGCATGCACATTTTCAGTTCTGGAACAGGACAAACAACCAGAACTTTTTATTAGGTGTTTGCAGCCGGTCAACACTAAAAAGATGAAGTAGAAGAAGAAGAAGAGGAGGAGAAGGAGAAGAAGAAGATACTGTATTGTGCTTGCTCTTGATATTAACAACAACAAATTCTTTTACATTATTGGTATCTTTGTTTTATTACTCCATTAACAATACATTCAAGCAACAGAACATAATCACACACACTACATGTTATTTGTTTTTTTTTAAAGCGTCACTTATTCACAGGAAACTTGCACCTGGCAAAAACACATCTGTGAGCTTCTGTAACGATCAACAGTATGGCAGCATACTCTTCTTCAACTGTTCCATATTTTTTGTTGGTTTGATCATACCTGAGTAAAACCTATTTAGATCAAAGCTTCAATACCTGCTCCTTTCAGTCAACACAATAAAAATTTCAGAGCATTTGTTGACCAAGTTAGCTTTTCCTATTAGTTTCATTCTCCCTCTTGTCTACTGGTGGTGCTCACAGCAGGCTTGTTATAAAGAGCAGCACCCAAAATAAAAAGGGTTCCATGAATGCAGAACCATCACACGATTCTGTGTTCTAGACTATGAAGACTTACTAGATAAACTATCTGATTTACAATTCTCTTCCAACTCCACAACAAATATTTAGCTGGAGTACAACAAGACAAAAATCCACATCATTTGAAAAAAAAAAAGTAGGAAATGACCTTCACTCACAGGTCAACCCTACCCAATATGGGTACCAGAAAAACTCCTGGGAAGTAGTGGAGACTGGTGCTATGCTGACCACATCAGCCATCACATTCTCATTAATCTAAAAACAAAAATGAGGGTTAAAATATATATGAGTCTGGCATCTCATGCCTGATAAGCCACCAGTGTGTGAAGTGTTCTTTACTATATTTTACTGCCTGATAAGCCGCCGGTGTGTGAAGTATTCTTGACTATATTTTACTGCCTGATAAGCCACTGGTGTGTGAAGTATTCTTTACTATATTTTACTGCCTGATAAGCCACTGGTGTGTGAAGTATTCTTGACTATATTTTACTGCCTGATAAGCCACCAGTGTGTGAAGTATTCTTGACTATATTTTACTGCCTGATAAGCCACCAGTGTGTGAAGTATTCTTGACTATATTTTACTGCCTGATAAGCCACCAGTGTGTGAAGTGTTCTTTACTATATTTTACTTATGACAAGATAAACACACATTAAAATAAAAATATTCATAAAAATTAGATGATAGAAGAACAGGATTTTAAAATGTTTCTTGTTCGGATCAACAAGAATCATTTGTTCTTGGGTAATATACTAAATTTAAATGTTCCCAATACACAAATCAGTTGGTTCCCATAGTTTTGTAATGTAACTATACAGTGGCTACACATGTCATGTCTGCTGACATGAATGTCAGTTAGTTAGTTAGATGACAGATTATCCTCACTGACCATCAAATCATCTAGCTCTTAAGTGCTGAGATCCCTTCCTCAGTAAATCTGCAGCGTGTAGCAGCTAAAGACACAAGTTCTGTTTTGGCGTCATGTTCATCTTTGGCTTCCTGCACAATGCCATTGTTTGGCCACACCCCTTTCAACTTACTGTTCATGCAATCTGGTCATAGCTGCAGATTCACAGTAATTTGGTTCTATAACTTGGTTCAGTCAGTTGGAATTGACACTGGGGCAGATGTTTTAGAAATAAGGATTCAGCCTAACTGGGTACCAGGATATATTGTGAGAAGTAAACGTGACATTCGATGAATAATGTGCCCAATATCATGGTGATCCCTTTAACTTCTCAGATATTTCTTGGTAACCATTTTAAACTGGGTCAGTCTGGGTACCTAAGACAAATTATAACAAATCTGACTTGATGCATGTTCAAGCACAAGACTTCAGGCTGGCAGGCAAGCATTTAGCCACTACACTACTAGGATGCACTAGCAAGTACACAATGGTAAATATAACTAAAGAAGAGAATACATTGAATCAGACTGTTTGTGTGCGGGTGGGGAGAGGGGTGGGGGAAGGGGTGAAACACTTTGAAGAGTTTAGTTACAGAAATTATAAAATCTTTCTGGGCTAATAATATGACACAAAGTCAAGTAATAAGTCAATACTCATTGAACACATTTATTAATAAAAATTTTCTCGTAAATGTAATAAAAACTTAATGTTATGCCAGTTTAGTAAAAGCAAGGAAAGGGTATAACATGGAAGGCATATTTAACTAGAAAATAATTTGCGAGTTCATAGGAAAAATAAAATAGCTTTGAAGATCTGATTTTTCCCAATCACTCTGGAAGAACAAAAAAATTCATTCTTTTATATGAGTTAACAAGTCATAAATAACAGACTATGAAATGAATGACATGTAATAAACTGTACAATCTGTTGTTTGTCTTCATTTTTCCCATTTACAGCAGGGAAACATTGCGTTCATTATTCTTCTATATTATGTTTATCACAACAACTAGAATATAAACTCTGTGGTTATTGAACAGTTATCTCATTTAAAGTCAAAATAACCTGACTTTGCCATTCAGACAAACAAAAGGTTAAAAACACAACCCATTACATTTATTGTAAAGTTTAAAAAAAGTTGTTTCTCTGATATCAAAGTGGAAAATAGTAAATAGCCAAACAAAATAAATGCTCTTTGAGAATTGAAACAATATGATATTATAAGGCGAAAAACACAAGAAACCAAACATATTTCTCCAAAGTTAAAGCAAATTGTTATTTAAAAAAACAACACACATACAATAGCCTCAAGCTCAGATAAGGAGGAAACAAATGTAGCAGGTTGATGTCAGGTCAAATAATCAGGTATAAGAATGCCACTGACAGAGAAAAAGCATAATAAAGATGTCTTTAAAGAAATTAACTCATAAGGGAAACCCATTTACTTGACCGAAGACAGTCCATATTCTTTAGGCACCTTATGAGACTGTTAGAACTTGACAATGCTGTGGCCACTAGAAAGATGGATAGGAAAATAGACAGGGTGACACCATAGGAGATGTTGGTTCTGCATTGTAGGAAGGATAGAAAAAATTTATATCAGAAATTATTTGCAATACAGACTGAAGACTGCAGACAAAAATAATGTACAACATCACAAGCCAATGAAGAAGAAGATGAAGCAGCAGATGAAAAAAAAAAAGAAGATGAAGAAGAAGAAAAACAAGAAAAAGAAGAAGATGAAAACGAAGACAAGTAAGTTCCTGTGTAGGTAACCTTCTATTCTGGGTGACGGACAACTGTGACAGGACAAGTTGAGTGATGCAATACATATTCACTAACACTGCCTATTAATGTGCGTTTCATCTTGCCAAGACCACGTGTGCCCAGGATGATCAAACTTGCATTCTCCTTAACTGCAGCTTTCCTAATTTCCTCGCCTGGTTTATCTCCTTGCAGTACTAGCAGATGAGCTGGTATCTATAAGAAACAAAAACAAATGAAATCAAAACACAAAAATAGAAATATTGTAGTTGAACAGATTGATCGTTTCTATCATTTTAATAGTAAAAAGTAAAGATCCCTTTTACCACACCTTTAGGCATATTGGAAATTTAGGGCTAGACCTATATTTTTATAGACCAACTGGAACTTGGAGGGTGATGTAAAATCATTGTTATTCATTATAAAAATAGCACTTATATGTCAACTGAAGCCATTATTCATCATCATCATCATCAGGTGCCTTGCCGACTGGCGTGGGCGATCATGCCTCTCCATAATCCGCGATCTCCTGCAGCATGTATCAGTTCGTGTGCCGACACACCTCCATGCCATGCAACAAGACTGTCGAGCATCTTCTCTCGTTGTCTTCCTCTATCCCTCCTTCCACAGATCTTTCCTGTGGTCACAACATGTTCTATTTTCCCTCTTCTCATAACATGGCCGAAAAATGATGACTGTCTCCTTCTGATGTCAGTGATAAGTTGTCTTCGGTCTCCCGCCTCTTTTAAAACCTCTTGGTTGCTCTTTTTGGCTGTCCAAGGTATTCTAAGCATTCTTCTGTAAAACCACATCTCTGAGGCCTCTAAAAATTGTTTGGCCTGCCTACCGATTGTCCAGGATTCACATCCATATGTTAAAACTGGATGTATGTAGCAAGCAAGAATTCTTTTTCTAACTCTCAATGACAAGGATATATTGCACAAGATGTTTTTCATTTTATAAAATGCAGTTTTTGCCTGTCCAATTCTGTTTCTTATTTCAGTTATGCATCTTCCATCTGATGTTATCCATGTGCCCAGATACTTAAATTTCTGTACTTGTCTTAAAATAACACCATTGACTTTTATTTCACATTTAGGAATAATTTGTTTCTTTGATACCACCATTACTTCTGTCTTCCCATTATTCAAACTGAGGCACATTCTTCCACTTTCTAACACCACAATGTTTATCATTTCCTGTAATTCTTTCTGACTTGTTGCTATCAAGACTGTGTCATCAGCATAACGTAAATTGTTTATATTGTGCCCACCAACCACGATTCCGGGCATATCAATTAAAGATCTCATAATATATTCACTGTATATTGAAAACAAATCAGGTGAAAGTACACATCCTTGTCGTACGCCCCTCTTTATGCTTTGAAATGTACCTAAACAGTTGTTAATTCTTATAGCTGCTGTTTGCTGCCAATACATATTCTTTATTATTATTAAGACATCCAAAAATAAGTATGACCAACAATAAATAGATTATACACAACATAATATACCAACATTGTGCTACCAGTACTAAACTTGGACATTATCAATGGCTCAGTTATGAAAAATTAACACCGGTGAGATGAGGGAAAACTGCCAACTCTACTACAAGGTTGAGAAATATTATGACCAAAGAGACTCTAAGAACAATCCCTTATTCAAAACTCATTGAGAAGCAGAAGATTGCATGGTATGATCCTGTTGTTGTAATACAGCCACAATAACTACCAACACTGACAACGTATCAAAAAACAGATTTGACATGAAAGCAAAAGGCCCCTGAAGGAGAACATTGACTGATAAAATGAAAGATATTACACATTCACACAGAATGACAGTAGCCAGTGCTACTTATCGAGTGCTGGACTGTAAAATGTTCCCCCCCATGACACTTGAAAGCAAAAGTAGAAGTTGATGATGATTATGAATAATGGTAACAATTTACCTTCAGAGTACTGCCAAGTGACAATCAAAGAACTGCTGAAGATCAGTATGATGCTGGGATTAATGGACTGAATACTAGAGACAATGATATTCTTACATCACATATACTGGTATGGGCCTTATGAGGCTGATCTCTCATAAGATTAGTTGTGTATCCTTTACAGGACGTTGCAGAGCCAACCCTAACAGCCCCTGGCGGTTGTGTGGTTTTTCTAGGCAAATTTATGTCCAGTAGTTTGCCATTGCTTTCTGGACGGTTGGCTTTCTTGATACCACTGTCGAAACCAATGCAAGGCGCATGACCCGCAGCTGTGATCAAACCTGGCATTAGGAAGCGTTCGCATCGACTTGGCCACAGAGCCGATTGATCTCTCATATACCAAGATAAAAAACATCTTGCCCTGATGTGGAAATCACATCTTTGTGAAGCTTCCTCCCACAGTTCTTGAACACTAGGTTTCTTAGTGATCCCTGGAATTCTTAGCATTGTATTAACTTCTTTCACCTTCCCCATTAGCGTGTGGGCACACACATCCACATGGAACTGCTGCAGCTAGTGGTAGATGGCCAGCCTGCAGGCCCAAAGGTCTTGGGTTCAAATCTGCACCAGATGGATTTGGAAAAACAATTCGGATGTGCCTCCAGGTCAAACTAGCCTATAGAGTACCAGTCTATAAAAATGTTAGTTTAGCATTGTTTACCCACTGTGCCACTTATTTTACTTTAGTTGAACACACAATCAGGCATGCTTGTGTGTGCCCACACCCACATGCACACACACACACACACAAACACTCAAAAAAAATTTTTTTTTGAAAAAAAGATATTTATGGAAACAAATTCCTATGTAAAAATTTGCAGTGTATATGATGGTGATGTACAATATATGTGAGCTAAGTTCTTTATGTCCATGATTTACTGACACACAATAATGAAACATTAATATTTGGTTTAACTTTTGTCATACAATAAAGAAATTAATATTTTAAATCTGCTTACTGTTTTTTTTTTAATTTTGATGTTTTTTAAACATAACCTGTTTACTAAATATTTTTCTTCTTTGTGTTTACTAGCTGTAAACTACCGGGGGAAAGTTCTGACTGTTCATCTACTTTTGGACTTTAGTCTTGTTCCAGAAACTAAATTTTGCCTGTAAATCCATTTTACAGATCTGGCTAATTTGTATACAGACTGTTGGTTCTCAGCCTTTCGGGCAGATGCACTACAATTTAGAAGGAAACACCCCCCAAATAATCAACTTTTGCGACCTGCTTGTTAGAGGACAGTGGGTCTATTCTTTCGCTCCAACCGAAATGGGGCTCATAACCCACAAGGGGAGATGACTATGCAAAAAGAGATTCTCTCACTTACATGTTTATTTCTGAGAATGTGCATGTATTCATCAGTCAACACTGAGTCCTGTCTAGGTCACAAATAGGATTGTGCATTTAAGGTCACCACCAGTTCCCCCATAGCTTCTCTTACAATGTAGCTTCTTTGGGCCAGATCCACAGTCTTTGCTGGGAGCTCTCTAATAGATAAATGATTCCATTTCTTGAAATAAAGTTTCACCAGGGTATATCAGTTTCTCATCCAGAGCCATATGTTACATAACAAAATCTCTGTCTTTAAAAGGCTGTGACTTCAGCATGGATAAGCTAGAAGGGAAGTGTGTTAATCTCTATGCTTTTGTGAGTACTTTGTTTACTCTGTTCACCTTTTTTTCTAGCAGCATTATCTCTACAGAAACTAGCAACAACAAATTGCAGCTTTCAGTCCTAACGATGCCAGTACTTAGTGGTGATTTAAACAGATTTAACATTTTACTGTTGCTTCCCACACTCATTTCTCTGCTGTTTGAATCTTTGATGGGTGCAAACATTTGTTGTAAGACTGACTTCTCAGAAGATTGTAAAAAGGCCTATCTCTTTCATCCCTTAAAACGGGCTCCTTTTTTTTTCTTCTTCTTCTTCTTGTTCACCAGCTGTTAACTCCACTGGTGAGTTCTGGTTGCTCGTCCACTTCTGGACTCTAGTCTTGTTTTAGTATCCAGAAACCATGAGTTGTTAACCCTTAGGCTCGGTATTATGGACATCGCAACCTGTCGGTCTTGATTCCATTGTAAATACCGTAAATCTGGGAGAAAATGTGGCTTTCCTGCCTACCCCCGGGATTGAACCCGGACCACAAGGAGTTCGTCACCCAGTCTCCGCGCAATCCGGTTTACCCAATTACGCTAGAGAGCCGTGCCTGGACTCTAGTCCTGTTCTAGAAACTGAGTTTTGGGTGCATATCCATTTCACAAGTCTAACTAATCTACATGCAGACTGTTGGTTCCTTGCCTCTCAGGCAGATGTACTCTGAAGGAAGCTCCCAATTAGTAGACTCCTAGGATATGCCTTTGGGCAGGCAGTTGGTCAGTTCTTGTTCTCCCCACAATGGGGCTGCGGAATCCACATAGTGATTTAAAAAAAAAAAACACCAGCAGCATTCTCCTGCAGTTTACACATCACCAAAGCACTGTAAGTATAAGAAGATTAGGATGTGATGAGATGAGCACACTGAAAATTCACCCACAGAGACAAACATCCAGACCAAGCTATCTGGCAGTCTCAGCAAACTCTCAGATACTGTAACAAATATTAAAATACACATTCTATTGTAGACAAAACTATAACAAATGCAGACAAGAAGAAGAATGTGTTAATTTAATTAATATACTCACGCAAGCCAATATGGATGTTGTATTCAGCAACATGAACTATAACCACAGTGTCACCTTCCCGATACAGGTTGTCCAGGTACCCTTAAAAATAAATACACTGTATAATGTAAACATATGCACATCATACATACATGCATATGTATATACGTATACACACACACACACACACACACACACACACACATATATATATATATATATATATATATATATATATATATATATATATATATATATATATATATATATACGCATATATATATATATATATATATATATATATATATATATATATATATATATATATATATATATATATATATATATATATATATATATATATCATATATATATACATATATGTGTGGTGTGTGTACGTATATACATATATATATATATATATATATATATATATATATATATATATATATATATATATATATATACACACACATAAATACAGGGTTTTTCTAATTGGTGCTATGCATCTTTTTAGGAATCCTTTTATGAGCACTATGGTAATAGACACTTTGTAGCATGTACCAGCACCTTTTTTTCTAGAAAAAAATTTACTGCATAATACATACCTACATATATATGTATGCACACACACACATACACACAAAATTTAAAATAAAAATGTGCCCCATTTACACACTTCTTTCAAGAGATGTATTTAATTTTTTTTTAAATTCATATTTACAGTTGCCAAGCTTCAGTGACAGGCTTTTCCCAACCAAAACATTGCCTGGTAAAGATAAAATAATTGACTGCTTTTGTTAAGAATGTGTACACATGCATTCAGAGACACATGTGTAGTTTGTAGTTTAGAAGTGTTATTTGTGGAGTAATTTATAGGTGTGTGTATATGTATGTGTTTGTTGAAAAGTTTAGAGATATGTATGTATTTGTGTTTGTGTCTAGAGTGATTTAGGGATATGTTTGTTTGTATGTATGTATGTGTGTGTGTGTGTTTGTTGACTGGTTTAGAGATATATATGTGTATGTGTCGAGAGACTCATACTTAGAGCTATGTATGTGTGTATTTGGGGTTGTTTAGAGGTGCAAGTATGTATGTAGTTTAGAGATGGGAATATGAATGATTCAGAGGTAAATTTGAAAACCAAACACAAAAGTATTTTTATAGAATGTGTTTTTTTTTTCTTCTTTGTTCTCTGGCAGCAAAATTCAGCAGAAAGTCCTGGTTGTACATTTGTGCCAGGGCCTGAGTTTTGTGTATACATCCATTTTGCTGGCATATTTGTATGCAGCTGGTTGTTCCTTGCCACTCGTGCAGATTAAGAAAGCTGCCAATTATTAACTTCTACGGAATGCTTTTTGGGGAGGCAGTGTGTCTGTTCTTGTTTCTCCAACAGTGGGGTCCCGGGACTCACATGGGGCACACAATATGTGTGAATTCTGGTATTTATGACTGGATTCTTATCAGAGTTACAACATTCACACTTTGTTAAGAACCTAATTGTGAGGTCTATGAACAGAGACAAGTTATCTATGTGCACAGATCTATAGCAAGACATGTGAATATTCCTATGCCAAGATCTAAGAGAAAAGAATGGAACACTCTTGTAGTTAAAAAAAAGTGGACATCTGGGGCCACCAGTTGAATAAACCCTGCTCTGCAGTAGTAAAGTACTGAAGGAAGTAAAGGACCCATTTCCACCTCTGGCACATGGGGCATATGTTGCTTGACTATTTGACTCATAGTTTTAAAGATCAACCCACACTCGAAGGGTGATGCGGTCAACCAACACCACGCTGACTGCCTTTACTTCTCATGACCATTCTTGTACCCATTTAAGGCAAGGTCGACCTGGGAATAAAAGCCCTTTTTTTAATCTGCAGGTGTGGATTTAAAGTCATGACCTTAGAGCCGCCAGTTTAGCGACTATCTACAATACTAAAGTCTACAGTAAGGACTCTGTCACACTAGTGGTTCATGTAGTATATGCTACAGTTTTTTAAACCAATCTGTACTGGAAGGTTGATGTGGTCAACATATTGCCGATCCCCCCCCCCCCCCCCCAATTCTGTACCATTTACGGATGGGTCGACCAGGAGCCAAGGTCAGATTCCCCCTTCCCTGTCAAAAAGTCAAATTAAAGACTTTCAGACCGAGAGGCAGGGCTGCCAATGTTGGCGTTTACACCCAGATCTGGTTTTTTTTTTTTTTTTTTGAAGCATTGAATTCAAATTTTGAAATCTGGTTTAAAAAAACAAAAAAAAAAACTGATCCTTATAAAAAAGTGGGTAAATGTGTCATTTAGTAACGATATAATTAGTAATTTTTTAGTAAGATCGGTTTTTAATTTTTTTTGTTAACGTATTGCTTGGGTTTTTGTTCAGCTTAGCTAGGTTTAAAAAAAAACAAGTCCCATTGCCAGCCCTGCCAAGAGGCAAGTGTCTAGCTACTGACTGTCACAGCTCCCTATTTTAAACGTCTGACTCACAAATAGTTTGTTAAGTTATCTGCTCATCCATACTGTTTGACTGTTGTTGATGATAAATCTATCTACCTGCATAGGACAGTGAAGTAATACACGGTGTTCCCATTGCAATTGTCTTAATTATAAACTGCCTTTATTATACCAGTTTTGCGGTGTAGGTGGGGGGAGGAGAGGGGGGGGGGGGTATTTGAGCCTAAGGATTTACAGCCGCATGGCTAGTGCTGTCGCCACGACTGTGCAGGTGAGGATTTAATTTTGCCCCTACAGGAAAAAAAATCCTGAGCCTTACCGAAGATTCGAACCCGGGTCTCCCGCTTGAGAGCCCCGCGTTCTCAACATTCTTAATTTTAACGCGCTGCGAAAAGCCGGGGTGCCGGGTTTGATCCCAGCTGCGGGCGGTTTATCTTGCGTTGGTTTTTCAACAGTGGTACAGAGAGCTGACCGTCAGCAGTGACAAAATGTTGGTTGGTTAGTTGCGTATCCTTTACATGACGTTGCAAAACCAACCCCAACAGCCCTAGCTGTTGTGTGGTTTTCTAGGCAAATTTACGTCTAGAAGTTTGCCATTGCTTCCTGGACGGTCGGCTTTATTGATACCACTGTCGAAACCAACGCGTGGCCCGCAGCTGTTATCGAACCCGACATCCCGGCATTACGAAGCGTTCGCATCGACTTAGCCACAGAGCCGACAATGACAAAACACTGAACGTAAAATAACAACAGCCAAAAAATACTGGAGTTGGTTCTACAATGTCCTGTCTAGACGCAACTAACTTAAAGAGGTTGAATGAGGTATTTTATGGTTGTCCTGTTGGATTGTCGGCCAGGACGTGGATCATCTGGGCGTATAGTAATATACAATAACCTACATAATACAAACATAGTAATACGATATACAAGTGGCAGGTTGTAGCTAGGGTCATGCGGTATGTTTTTTCAGTATGATGCAAGTCTTCGAACTGCCGCCCCTCAAATGTTTCCAATTGTTTTTGTTTTTTTTTAAATTTCGCTGCTTATGCCCTCTCTCACGGTGCCGCCTTATGCTGCCGCATCTTTGTTTTATAAAAAAAAAGTAATACTATAATAAAATCATAACTTTTCTCGCTGAGATAATGCAGTAAGATGACACAAAACAACTAGACACTAACAGTATACACTTACAATTAAAAGCATAATGTGCCTGAGGACTGCCATCCACAGCAATTACATCAACTCTGCCCATCTTGACTTAGAAGTGAAATCCCAACAGTGGAATTGAAAACCCGACCTTGTACTTGTGCCCAGGACGTGACTGTATGCAATATGCAACTATGAAAACGAAACACAGCTAAGCTTGGCGTCCCCTCACTTGTCTCCACTATGTGTGACGGATTCTTAATGGGGAAACGCGTACACCAGTGCTTCTCAAAATGCACGATACCAACCACTGTTGTTCTGGAACACATCAAATAGGCGGTAATAAATGACGACGTTGAATGAAAACAAGGGCATCATTAATTTACCGACAAAGGCTGCATGGTGAACAGGGCTAGTGTGGTGGTTACGGGTGCTGTACTATCACTTTCTTAAAGGTTAAACTTGGTATATGAGCTTGCTTTATTGGTCTGCGATCAGTATGGAGATTCTTTAGTCTCATGGCCTCAAACCTTCAGTTCCTGTTGGTCTGCCATCAGCACTCCCAAGTACTATCAATCAGTGCTCCGATTTCTTTTCTCAGAGTGTCAAACTTTTCTGTAGCAGCCCAAATGGGTACATAACATCCATTATATACAGAAAGGAGACAATGCTTTTTTTTTTTGTCGAAACGGATTTCTTTTCTCCCCCGGAATGAAGAGCGTGGGATGTGTACTAACTCCTCTGGAGGCTTGGTCCGCTACTATCAATCAGTGCATCCAGATACAAGCTTTCCACCAACAATACCAGTTCTAGTATACCAGTACTACTTTGTACATGAGGCCACCGCTTTGGTGATACTCGTAGAAGTGACACTTGGTGTCAACACTACCAGATGTCAGTGGATGCAGATTCATCAGCATTCAAATGCCACTGTCAGAGGCCAGTTCGGCTACGGGATGAACGGAGTTGACGATAGTGAATCATCACGTATGAACGAGCTGACCCGCAGTAAAGCTCAGGGTGAGACCGGGCAACGTGACCACGGAATAAACTTGGTCGAGTTAACTGGCTAAGCCCAAGGTCACACGGTTAACACGTATTACCGCGTGTCGAGAGATGAACGGCTGGTGAACGAAAAAGCTTGGACAGAGCTCGGCTGAAGGAGAGTTGTGTAGTGGACATTGGACTGGACGAGACGTAGCGCTTTGACTAGGTAAAACGTATCTTACTTTAGTGACGGTTAGATTGAATAGTGTTTGTGGTTAGTATTTTTTAGATAGGCTGTGTTTCCATTCAATGTTTCGACGAGATCTTGTAGAGTTAATGTTCCTTGTATAGTAGACGTTCCATGCATTATTTGTTAAGCAGCTAGTGAATGTGTGACACGCATTGTTAATGGCGGTAACACTGCACAGTCACACTTACGTGTGTCACTGAGTCCAGGGTGCAATAGACGGCGACTTAGTCAGCACTGATACACTGTTAGTTTGGAATCGTGTCCTTGGGGATCCATGGAAACGGCTCGGGTCTACCAGTGAATGTAAAAGCTGCTCAATGCCGACGTTCAGGATAAGGACTGCCAGCTTAGTTGAAGTGTTACTAGTTGTATTGTATTGTTCGTTGTACATTAAAGATTATGTTTGTACTCAGCAGGTGCGTGTCTTAAGTGTGTCTAGGGTAGTGAAGCCTGTTAGCTGGCCTACATAGCGAGCCATATAAAATGAATATAGTAAATTAGGTCGCTGACAGACACCAACCCAGGGACTATACTCAACACACCGTTGCATATACCATTTCGGCGGTGTAGAGCATGAAGATTTAGGGCTCCATGGCTAGTGCTGTGGCCATGGACTGTGCAGGCTAGGATTATATTTTTGCCCTCAACAGGAACAAAAATCCCCAACCTTACCGAGAAAATATAACCTTGGCCTCCCGCTTGAGCCAGCCAGAATTCGGGGATGAACAGCGTGCACGCCAAAATAAAGGGGATATGGATCACCGCAGCAGACCAGATTGATCATTTTCCTTAAAATAATTTTAAATGTTATTCATGATTTTTATTTTAAGGTGAAACGTCTTTATCTCAATTGTCTGTGTGCGATGCAAATGAATGAGTGAACGAGTGACGTTCAACCCCACCATGACCGCACAACGAGGAATAAACACCCGGTGACACAAGGCGGCAGTATTCGGATGAGAATCACTTGTTTTAGTTCCATATGAGCGAGTGACGTTCAAACCCACCAAGACTGCACAACGAGGACTAAACACCCGGTGTCATAAAATAACACCATTCGGATTAGAAACCCCGTTCAATCGTTAGTTGTATTAGGACCCCTGACTACAGGCGATGTAGGGCTTTAAAATAAAGAAAAATTGGGGAGTTAAGTGATCTGATTTTGTGCTTTGGCTAGCTTGAATTCCCTCATGTTTAATGTCACATTATAGTTTGTCTCATTTACATCTTTCTTTATATATTGTATGAAGAAGGAAGATGTGTAGATCCACGCAAGAACGAAAGTTGGGGTTATATGTTTATCTTTGCTTTCCTAGAAAAGACAAATCTGCATAACTTCGTTGCTTGACTTTATTTCATTTAAGAAATGACACAAATGCCTTCGTAGGTCCCGGGTAGCTAGCCCCCTTTGACTTTTGTGTTATGGGAAGTGAGACAGATTCTAGTTCTGCATCACTTTGTAACGTACTTATGTATGGCATGGTAAAAAAGGTAAAGGTAAAGTCGGGAGATGTGAACCAGCGTCATTTCACAAGGTTATAAACCATAAGTGCTCTGCCACCAGTACGGACAGCTGATAAGAATTGTCCGCCTGTGTCGCCGTTCGCACGTAACTCTGTAGCTATAGCGACGTTCCTCTATGTACCCTAGAGTGTCAACTCTGGTATCCATTTCCTAGAGGCTGGGTGAACCCCGGGAGCCATCCGGTTTGGAACACCGACCGTGGGCTGCAGCGAGTCGCAGCTGGATTTGAAAGCCAGCCTCTTATAGACTGAGCTAACGCGGCCCCCAAAATGGCATGGTAAATGCAGCCAACCCCAATGGTGGGCACAAGAGCACGGAGGAAGAGCAAACAGAACATCCCATTCTGAGGAGAATTGAGCAACATGGAGTGACTAAAGGATCTAGTCGAACACACAGAGGAAGAGCAAACAGAACATCCCATTCTGAGGAGAATTGAGCAACATGGAGTGGATAAAGGATCTAGCCGAACACACTGAGGAAGAGCAAACAGAACATCCCATTCTGAGGAGAATTGAGCAACATGGAGTGGATAAAGGATCTAGCCGAACACACTGAGGAAGAGCAAGACTTATATAATAACATACATACTGCAACTGATGTTGGAACTCTGTACCGGCTGCTGAAGATGAGGACGGAGCGCGTTTTGGGAATGCTAGGAATTATGTAGTTCTTTGACTTTAACATCATTAACTTTTCCAATTTCACGTGACTGGCGCATCGGTCATATGAGGCTAGATTTGTATTTTTGTTAATAGAACAATTCGATGGCTGATGAAATCAACAAAACGCCGACCTTTGATTCTAAAAAACCTTATCCAGTACCCATTTCAGACTAGGTCGACTTTAAAAAAAATAATTTTAAAAATTCAGCTCCATGTGGGTTTAAACCAAGACCTTCGAATCTGCAGGCGAGCATCCATCAACAACACCATGGCGGTCCCATGTTGAGTTTTAGTACAATTTAATTCAACAATTTAAAAAAATGCTGGGGTGCCGGGTTCGATCCCAGCTGCGGGCCATGCGCCTTGCGTTGGTTTTGACAGTGGTATCAAGAAAGCCGACAGTCCAGAAAAGCAATGACAAACTACTGGAGGTAAATTTGCCCCCCCCAAAAAAAACCACACAACAGCTAGGGGCTGTTGGGGTTGGTTCTGCAACGTCCTGTAAAGGATACGCAACTAATCCTTATAAAAAAAAAAGCAGATGGTTTGTCAAAAATGTTTAAGAACCTCTACTTCCTACTGTAGCATAGAACCCGCGTCCTCCAAAGATTCATGAACGTTTCTATTGGATAAAAAGAAAAAAAAAACCTAATTAAAAATAGAATTGGATAAAAAACCCACAATAACATTGAGTGTAAAGCGTCTTTAATTTAAGCGTAATGCCTAAAATATGTGAAATTGTTAGTGTTTTAAAGTGCTATCAAAGAGTGACAATAATTATCAAGCTTTACAATTGAACAGCCTGTGACCTCAGGCGGATGAACTTTTCACCTTGATATAGTTGAGAGCTTGGCTACGGGCGATGACAACTTTCAACGTGTAAAGAATTGGGTACGCCAAACGTTCACATCATCATCATCATCCATCATCATCATCGTCCTTGTATTTTTGTGCTATATTTTATGTCCAGAAGGATTTCAGCGAAAGCAAAAAACAGTTGCTGTGGCGATAGATCTTGAGGATGCATTTCTTCTTCTTTCGTTCGCCTGAAATAAGTTGTCTATATCAGAAATTTTGTCTCTTGTATAAATTTTACAGTCGTTTCACGCGGTTATAGAGTTTACGTTCCACTGTTGTTCTTTCTGGCCAAAAGGTTTGCCTTAATGTGTCAAATTCGGTGCAGTCCTGGAGTACATGCTCTGCTGCCTGAAGCACATTTCCACAGGCGCACATGGCTGATACGCTAGTAGTAATAGGCGGTAATACGGGCCGCATTTGAGAAATCGATCTCTCTTTATCCTTAGTAAAAGATGGCGGCCAAAAGTGATTGGTTCTTTCTGGCGGGTTTATATATCCTTAGTAAATATCGATCGGGGCACCCGCCCTCTTTGTCCTTAGTAAATATCGATCGGGCGGTTGGTAACAGCACAAGTGATTGGTTTTAGGGAAAGGTATAGGAAATCTTCCTAACTGCAGGTGACAGGTGGCGTTATATAAAACGGGGGCAGGCAGGAACACTATTTAGGTGAGCAGCGGGGGGCAGGGGACCCGGGGCGACTAATAGAGTTGGTGCGGGTTTATGTGGATGTCTGTATAGGTGATTGTATGAGGGGAGCCGTTTTAGACTTGCGATAAAGAAAACCTAGGAAGGCGACGTGGTGACCGGGGATATATTAGAAAGGG